TTAAGAAAAAGAGAGAAATATGGGTAAGTTAAGCATTTCTAGTAGATAGAACATTTCAGCTGATTGTTTGAGGAACAAAATACAAAGGACCCATGCAGGAAATAGTTGCCAGAGTAGGTCATGAAGAAGACCAGGCTATACCGTGTAGAGTTTTGTGTGATGAGCTGTGATCAAATGGAAGAAAAAAAAAATAATCTTATATAATCCATACTCTAAGGAGTTAACTGATCGCAGCATATAGATTTGAAAATTTCAGGTGGCAAAAGGATCAGCTGGAAATCTTCAGTGTTAGTTCAGGTAGAAAGGAGTAACGGAAAGAGTGAGAAACAGAGGACGGTGATTGTGACTTAGTTAGATTTTGCTCATGTGTGTGTGAGAGGCAGGGGGAGAGAGAAGAGAGAAGCTAGCTATATCGGAACATTCCTTATCTCTCACATCCATTTTCCTGTTTTCTAGAACATTTTTCACAGTGTGTTTTTACTGTTTTGTGTGCTTTTCATGGCTTAGCTTCAGCAATATACCATGCATGAAGACCCCCATGGCTGTGTTTTATTTGTATAAGAAAAGAAATTTCTTTGATTAAGTGTAGATTATGATTGTTAAAGATAATGTTCATGTCAAAAATAGGATTGTTATTTAACAATGTCATGCTGTGGAGTACAGGGAGTGCAATGTTTAGCTATAATTAAAATTCAGCTTTACTGTGTTGAAGCTAAAGACGCACACACTTACCTCTTCTGATTTTTAATTTTTTTATCTATATTTCAGATGTTTTAAGTTAATACCATTATAGCCCTTGAATGAATAATGAAGAACGTTTGTCTCAAAATTCATAAATTGTTTGTAAATTGTCTTATAAATAGATTTGAAATCTCATAAACAATCAGCCTTACATTCACCATCTTTAATAGCCTGGTTTCCATCATCAAGGACTAGTCAAAGCACCTGTTCCCCTCAGTCCACAGTTTTCTGTTTCTCTTCTTCCCCTGTCTCCTTACCTCAAACTTATCAGAGTGACGTCTGCTCTTAAAATTCTCCATTCAGGTTGTTCTTCCAGACTCCCTATTAGTCTAATGCAAACTCTTGGAACTCTAGTCTCAGCAAATGCCATGTCATGTCATTCCCAAGTCAGAGTTTGTTTTCCTGAGTCCTACCGTGTTAGGATGCCCTTCTCAGAACATCATGCAAAATCCTATGAAAACCTTGCTGATTCCCTCAAGGAGGGTCTATCCACCCCACTGTGTACTCGCGACTCCCTGTTCATCACAGCACGTCAGTTTGCTCCCTTGCCACACTTCTGTCTTGATCGCTCAGTAAGCTATCATGCTTCTTAAGAACCAGCATTTAAGCTATGCCTTCTGTACACATATGTGGGACTGTAATACAGAAATCACCAATATGCACAGTCAGTACATATTAGTCAGGGATGAAAAATCCACAAGACAAATGCATAGTATAGATATAAGTATATATGTGTGTGTGATACTTGTGATTAAAATACAGATCAGAGTGTTAATTCTTCTGTCACTAGTCTCTTTGCAGTAGAATTGTATGGAAAGATGAGCAGGCATCCCGAACATTGTGATGTCTTACCCTTGCTTTGAACTTCACTGTTGGCCTGATCAGTAGGTAATACTATATGAAGTGTTCTTCTTTGACCTAAGTGACTGCTACTGTTGTCTTTGGGAAGGTATCTGCCCTTATCAGAATTTATATTTCTTCCAGTTCCTTAACTCAGAATATTTTTACTGCATAGAAAAACAATCACTCAATCAAGAGCAGAGATTCTTCCACTCCTATGACATTCTTTGCTTGGATACCGATGCCCATTCAGTGCTTGGTTCCTTTCCCCATCCAGCTAAGCACAGGTGTTTGCCAAGCTCTTCTCTGAGTGCTGAAGTTCTAAGTGACGTGTTTTGCTGCCTCCCCATCCACTTCTCTGTCTCTACAAATCTGGTGCGGGCACTACTAGTATTCCTGAATGGCATGAAAAGTCACAAAATCCCCATATTCACATATTCACAATCTCTCGGTCCTAATGACTTCCATGTGGAAACTTTTTGGTCCTGAAAACTCTCTCAGATATATCTTGAAGTTAAGTCCACTATCTCTGTCCTGTAACCTGGCTTACACCACGCCATGGTGCCACAGTTAACTCCTCTAACACTTTCAGAACACTTATATTTTACTCAGGTTTCCACAATACCATTCAATAACCAATAATAATAAGGTATTGATCCTACATAGATGACTGGTGCCAGAAAGACAAATATATAATCTGCCCTGCGACGGGTGCTGAGTAAGCAGAAAAACCACTTGCCAGCACTTTTAGTTCAGTTACCTCTTTCATAGGTGCTGAGCTGCCTGCTTTAGTGTCTCTCACCTTCAATTTTAAAAGACATGTTAATACATATGCTATAATGTGTATGCATTAATATGTGATCACCCCAGTACTATCATTACTCTTTCTCTGGATTTTAAAAATACTATCAACTTGAAGGCTAACTGTTGTAAAGGATCCCCGGAAAGCAAAAGATATGGATAAAATATGCTATATTAGTAGTTTGATATATAGTCTTCACCTTAAGAAACACGTTGGCTTGCAATCCTCTTATGTTCTTTGTACATCTTAGGGTGAAACTATAACTGCACTAAAATGTTTGAAATCACGTGAGAGAAATGGAAAGTTTTCCACTTTATAATTACAGCTGTTGAAATATAATGGCATGGCTATGTCGTCAAGGGTCTTAATCAGTATGTTTAAAAAAATAGCAAGTGCTTCTGTTCATAATTTAGTCAGATGCACAATTTCCATGGCAAAAGGCCAAATGCATTTAATGCAATTCAAAGAAAACAAGGAGGGCTGATGGCCTCTAATGAGCAATTGATTAGCAGTAAACAGAGATAATAGGCTTCCGGTTTCCGCTCCACTGGGGACAGGAAGGCCATTTCCTTCTGCATTGGCTCCAAGCTGATTAGTGACACAAGGAGTGGAAGTCAATTCATGGATTTTACTATTTGCAGATAATCAACTCCAAATTATGATTATAAACATAAATCTTGGTTTAAAACATATGTGTATGTAAAAATAACCTACTGTGTGTACAGATTTAACTATGACTGGGGTTCTGCTCCTAAAATTGCTAAAATGATGAAAGAGAGGAATAAAAATGTGTTATACTGTATTGATATCCCAAATAGTAATTATTATGCAAAAGACTATTCGAGTTTCAATATTTTAAAACCACTTGCTTGTTCTTAGCTGCTGTAATTTGGAATTGCATGGGGATGACAAAAAAGGATGCCCAGGGATATTTGGGGCAGTGTTGTTGACATGAGGCTGCAATTCACAGCCTGCTGGCTGATAAGAAGCTGATTTTCATTATCTGAAGCTGTGGCCACTGGTTAGCAAAAACACAAGAAAAACCTGGAAACATAGATTAAAAAAATTGATTATAGCTTTTAAGTCTTGCTCACCTTTGTCGGACTTCTATACAGTAAAATGGAGAGGAATGAAGAGTACCTGTTGGCCCTGAGTTTATACACTGGACATGTAGGAACACCACCTTCCACCTGAGCACTTGAAGGCAGCTTAGGTCCCACCAGCAGGCAACACAATAAAGATGTATGGAGACCATTTCATTGAGTCTGACCGTATCTCACTATTCATCTTAATTAGACAAATGTTGGTTGAGTACCTACTGTAGGATGCATGTTGTGAACAGATGACAGCTGTATAGAAACAGTACTTTTCAAAAACTATTATTTTAAATTCCCTTTCAGGGTTAATTATTAACATATGATTTACTTAGGAATACTATATTATTCTTTTGGTTGGCAAGTATATATGTTGGGTTTAATGACATTCATAAGTATACATAAGAAATTTTATGTCTACTTAATACTTAATTTAACTCATAAAGAGAAGGTTATTAGATTTAGCACATGTCAAAAGTTCTAGCTTCTATTATATTCTTCAAGCTTCATTTCTTTAGTGTCTTGTTGATGTTTTTCAAATGATTTTAAAAAATTAATATGTGATCACTTCTGATTCTAAGAATCTCTTAAAAGCTGTGGCACTTCTCAAAAATAAAATGAATACACGCATATCTACCTGTACAACATACTTGTATCACACGTTTTCTTGAGTGTAATCAGGTTGAGACACACTATACTGAAACTATGTGCAAAATGGCTCAGTTGGTAAAGGTGCTTGACACCAATCTTGACAAACTGAGGTTGATCTTCTGGGCTCACATGGTGGAAGCAGAAACCTGACTCCCACAAGTTGTCCTCTGGCAACTTTATGTGCACTATGGTACACAGATGTTCACACACACAATAAATAAATGTATAATTTTTAAAAAGCTGTGGGTGACCCTCATAGGATTCTGAAGACACGGAATATGAAATTACAATTCGGTTGGGAAACTTTAAACTGATCTTTCAAGTAATAATGGACAAATGAAAATTTTTCTTTCTATAAAGTTATTCATATAAATTCCAGTTTAGTTTGTTTCTTGTATAAATGATTGAATATATGCCTATACACAAATATATTTGTGATGTATAGTCTACCACAAATATGTGGTTATAAATGGACTCTAACAGAAAGCAAATTATTTGCCCTGACTTCTAAGAAGTTCAGCTTGAATTTAGGGAAGAATATTGAACTTTACTATGCTGAACACATGCAACCCTTGGCATTTGTGTGTGGACTGCAGCCTTAAGGCTCTAGGGTTTGGACTGTAATGGGCAAATTGTAATCATGACATCTTCTAAAATGTCATTGAATTTCTTTATCCTCCTGTGCTTCTGGGTTGCAAAGTAGCTCAGAAGAGTTTCTGCTTTGAATTTGTCTTTGGAATGCTTCCAACCCTGAGCAGGTGACACCATAAACATTTCCCAGTCTTGCCATTTGGGCTGAGCAAGTGGCTGTCCATGGTGGCTCCTTCTGGATGTAAATTGATTTTAATGATTTCTTTCTTTCTCCCGGGCAGGATTTATGTGGGCATCATTCATGTGACACCCTGGGAATGGCAGACGTTGGGACCATATGTTCTCCGGAGCGCAGCTGTGCTGTGATTGAAGATGATGGCCTCCACGCAGCTTTCACTGTGGCTCATGAAATTGGTACGCAGCGTCTTTTCTCTTCCCTCGCCAAATCAAACACTTGTAACAGCTGCCACAGGACCCAAAATACTTGGCAATTAATTCCAGATTTCTTCTGGTTCAGATGTACCATTGGGTATTACATTTGTTTATATTTGAACTTTCAGGGTTAACTAATGCAGGAAAAGGAAGGCAAAGTCAGCAGCACAGTCGATGTTTCCTTTTGACAGTGCCATTTAAAAGTTAAGGAGAAACTTGCTGCAGAGTTTTTTCTCTCTTTTTAAGCATCCCTAAATGACTCCTAGACACAATTTGTCACAGTTGCCCATGGAATGCAGAAGTGTCCCTTTTAGAAGTTATTCATGACAGTGTTGACTCATTCAAGGATAATCAGTTTGCACAGAAATTTAACATGTTTTGCCCCATCCTGGGTGATCATAGTAAGCTCCTGTCAAAGGGAACCAGCAGCTTGTGGTAAATATTCCTGTCTCCTTCCCAGTAGCCAGGCAGCTGGAGCCAAGCTGGCTCTCATCATAGTTTACTTTATAATATCACATATTCAGTTTGCTTAGTATACCAAATATTTCTAAATCCTATAACTGTAAATTGAGGGCAGAGGTAAACAGTTAATCTATATCCCTGGGATAAGAAAAACTAACCACAGACCTTGGAAACTGATGTACAAGAAACTGACTTAGTTTCTTAGGACAAAATGTTATAATCAGATACATACAATTTTGACTCTTGCTGAAGTAACTTACCCACTGTGTCCAATCATTCTATTATTAAACTCTTTGAGACCTGCCTTCAATTCTAAAATATAAGGAGAGCCCTACCTTCTGTATAGAATTGTTTTAGGAACTAAATTGGGTGGAGTGTAGATAGTGGATATTGTAGGCAGGGACTACTCATTTGTAAGAACCCAAATAATAACACAGAAACTATATTAATTACAATAATGTTTGGCCAGTAGCTTTGGCATATTTCCAGCTAACTCTTACATCTTAAATTAATCCATTTCTGTTCATCTGTGTATTGCTACAAGGCTGTGGCCTACTGGTAAAGTTTTGGCTGGCAGTTGGCATCTTTCTCCTTCAGCAGCTACAGGTTGTCTCCCTGATTCTGCCTACTTTCTCTTTATACCTCTGTTCAGATTTCCAGGTTGGCTTTACTTTACTAAGTCATTGGCCAAAACAGCTTCTTCAATAACCAATGGTAATTAAACATATTCACAGCATACAGAGGGGAATCCCACATCAGGGTATCACGTATATTCACATCCACATACATCAGTTAAATATTTCAATCCCTTTCTTAATTTATAATAACCTCTTTGCATCTTTGTTTGTGGTGCAAGGAATCATTCAGTCATCACTGCATTTAGATTTTTTCAATATTTTTGTTCAAAAGATTTAGCTAGTTAAAGCTACAGTCATAACTATTAAGTGAAAATTAAAATTTTGACCTCACTTTCCTAGTAAGTTGTGTTTGCTAACCACATTTCTTTGAGGAGCTGAATAATGTCTAGTGAAAGGGACAATTTTGTAAATCCAAAGATGATAGCAGTTGACCAGAATTAAGTAATTGCATTTCAACTATTGTATTTCAAGTTTTGATCCTGACATTGATCCTGACAGTCTCTTTAGCATCAAATATAACTCTTTGATGAAACAGCATTCCCACAGCATTATTGACATTAATTCAATTCAAGACATTTTGAGCATCTTTCACTAATCCAAAGTGTTGAGATGAAGCCCAGTCGGTTCCAGTTCCCTGCAGAATCCTACTCATCAAGGCCATTTAGACACCTTGATCATATCCGTTGTCCCTATAGGCCAACCAAAAATAAACTGTAATGAATCACACATTGTTGAAGGAAGGCTACTGCTTTTTTTTCTGCCCTCCTCTCCTGTGGTGATCTTTACACAGAGTGACAGTATCGGCAGGTTTCCCTACGAGAGAAATGCTGATCTTTCACCATAGTACCTTCATTGCTTCTTTTGACTCTCATACCACACCACCTAGACTAGTGTCTAAGTCACATTCCCAGTCCTCAATTCTTAAACAAGATCTCTGAGTTTCACCGGCTGATGAAACAGTGATAGACGTGGAGCCAGGCAAAACAAGACAGGCATGATTGCACAGAAGAACAATGTTAGAGCATAGTAGGCTCTTATATGCAGTCAAACTGATGTGGAATGTCCTCTGTATATGTGTTGCTTTATTGGTTGATGAGTAAAGCTGTTTCAGCCAACAACTTAGCAGAGTAACACTAGGTATAAAGTCCAAACAAAAATACAAAGAGCGAGTAAGTGGAGTCACGGAGACACCATGTAACTGCCGAAGGAGACAGAACTTACTGGTAGACCACATCCTTGTGGTAATACATAGATGAATAGAAATGAATTGATTTAAGATGTTAGAGTTAGTTAATAAGAAGCCTGAGCTAATAGGTCAAGAAATGTTGTAATTAATATAGTTTCAGTGTGAGTATTCGGGTCTGGACAGCCGAAAATGAGCAGGCTCTGTTTACGTCAAACCTGTGTCTTTGAATATGATTAACATCCTGGTGTCTCCTTCTATCTCTCGATTTAGTTATCTCTCTTAGATTCATTATAACTCTCTAAGATTCATTTTCCAGCTAAATATTGCCTGCCTCATTTCCCTTTTGTATAGCGAATGGTCTAAAGAGATACTTAAGGTCCGAAGGTAAAAGAATATGGATTTGATTCTTTTTTTATTAAAAAAATCTCGTATTAATTTCATTTTAATATCCTTCTTATTCTATTTTAATTTTACCTAAATATTATGAGGATATGTTATAAAATATGAGCCATAAAATTTTAGAAGTGATAATCCTCCCTAAGGCTTTATCTCTGTAGATGATCAGAACCTTACCTCTCAAACATCTTAACTCACTGATCTGTTCAAAGTGTTTATTTCTTAATTGTTTTATGAACTGTCAGCTCAACCTATGCTAATCATGGGCTGGATTTTAATTATACTCAAATCGTAGATACTCCCTGCCTTCTCTTTTATTATATATTTGCTACTTTTTAGATATGAAAATTATATACACAGTGTATGTATTTATAAAAATAACATTTTCAAGCTGTGGCTTTCAAGTATTTAGAATCTGCTTGAATCTGATTCCAAAATGTGCAGTTTGTTTCCTTCTTTCCAAACAAATGCTGTCAATGCGTTCCTGCATTGAAAACATAAACTAGCAGGACCTATCCAGAACGCTAGCATAGACTGTCTCCTTTTTTTCTATAAGAAGTAAAGAGATGTATTTGATTAAGAATAGCTTCTATTAACTGACATAGGCTCTCATAGAGTGTTGTACACTTTCCTTTGCTGTATATAGTGGTTTCAAATACAGAGTACAGTTCTTTTCAAGCACAAAGAAAACAAAAGTTTTCCCCTCATATATTCTATGGTTTTCTTAAAAAAAAAAACTCTTAAATTAAAAATTAACACATAAGATAAAAAGGGATGGTGGGCATAATGGCACACTGACACTGTTAACACTGCAAAGGCTGACACAGAAGGGTCAGTTTCACACCAGCCTGGGTCATATAGGGAGACTCTGTCTCAAAGAGAAAAAGAAAAAAACCACAAACAATAGAAACTTTATGATGCTGCGGTGCAGGTTGTGGAGCAGCATGCATTAGATTAGCAGTTCTGAGAATTCTTGCCTGCTTTACCTCTTAGTTGGGACTCTCCTGTCATCTGCTAATCCATTCGATCTCAAAATCAAATGAACAATGACATGCAAGAAGTTGAATTACAAAGTCACCTGATGCCAATACCACCGGTTACAGGTTTCTGCAAGGGCAATGTTCACTAGCATGGACAAGACCCATCGGCAGTTTTAAATTGCTTTCTAGGCTGGGCACAGTAAATACTGACTCAATTGCTAGAGCATTTCAAAACGGTGCTTCAGATGATTCGTGTGCTTTGGGTGAAGGCAGGAACGTGTTTACAGCTATTTTACAATCCAAATGAGAAACGGCAGAAAGTTTTCAAGTTGATGTAAGTTTACATTCTGAGTTTATATTTTTTAACGTGTCAAGCTTTTATTATAGCCTTGTAATAATAAAGATTTCACCTGCTGCACATATGGTCATTAAAGACAGCCATTTTACTGATGTTGAGCCAGCTTCTAATACACTAAGGGGAACAATAGGATTTTATTGCGATTAATGAAATTCATAGTTTCCAAACACGAAGGGTTTGTGTTATAGTAGTTAATTATAAAATGTACTAAGTGAATTTCTCCATGGAGATAGACTGCAATGTGTTTCCTAAGTTGAAACTAGGCAGCTTAAAGAGCCAGACTGAGGAAGTGGTTGAGACACAACAGGGGTCTGCCTGGATTTTGCTGTGGTTGGAGGCTGCTCTGGTTGTGCTGATCAGTGTGTGACTCTGCCTAGATGGCTAGATTAAACAAGCCTATGTTTAAGAAACTGCAGGTCTATTTCCCCCAAACACTTGGTAGACCAAAGGCAAGTCCGCAGAATCAGATGTTTTGTTGGCAAGGCAAGCAAGATGTGAAGTGAGAAGAAAGCCGGGGTTTGACTTATTATTTATCTTCAGACCTGTCGCTTTAATCAACCAGACTCGGCATATTTCCTGTCATACTTGAGTTAGCACATCACATGTCTTTCTTGGACTGGGGATAAATGGTAAGGATAGGTATGGGTTACATGTCTCAAGCACTGTGAGATTTAATGTTTAATATGACTTTAAAAATAAATTTTATCCCAATCCAATTTTCTCTAGGGCAGGCCTATTAATTTTTTTGCCACATAGGTGGACACCAACTAGTTGAGCATGGCATTAAAAAGTAGATTGCAGTCATAATGTGTGGTTTGTTTCTCTTTTCAAATTAGGGGATTGTTCTCTCCCTCTCAGTTCAAGGTACTTAGTACTATTACAATTTATTGCAAATACTAACAGAGGGATAGCTTCTTGGTAAAGTGTATGCTTGTAAACACAAAGACATGAGTTCAATGCCCATAATCCACATTAAAACAAAACCAGAAACAAAACCAGACATTGTTGTACATACTTGTAATCCCAGGACTAGTGGGGCAGAGGCAGAGACCCTTGGATTTTGCTGGTCCACTTGGAGTATTCCAGGTCAGTTACAGACAAGGTATCAAAGAAAAAATTTAAGGTGGATTGTGCCTGAAGAACATGATCCAAATTCTCCTCTAATCTTTCACAGGCATGCGCACTCAGGCCCACATATACTATCATACACTTGTGCACACACAGCACAACATGCCCACAGGCACAGCAAGAAGGAAATATTATAATGGAGCACCCAACAGAAAGGAAAGTTAACATTCAAGGAAATTTCTAGAACCTGTGTAATATTCATAACTAGCATACTCCAAGGGTCAGATTCAAATTCAACCTTCTGGTTCCAGAATCCAAGATTTTAATAGTACTGCATAATGAATTTTGGAGATTATTTAGTGTGAAATTTATTTAAACAAAGAGATCGTCATAGGGTAAAAGAGTAAATTTTTACTGTTCCTAAATGACATACTCAATACCACATTGATCATTTTTGCTCAATGTTTTCTTAAAGGAATGTTTCCAAGTATTATCGCCTCAATATAAAGATCTGCGTTAGGAAGAGCATGTCCATACAATTATTGGAGGTCAAGATTCCTCTCTGTGGTGGTTCTAGATTCTGTCCCCTGTGAGCTGTTGACTCACTTTTCAACCCCTGGCCAGACCTTCTTGCACCTCCATAATCCCAGCTGGAAAATTAGGTAAATGAAAAACATGACCTCATTAAGAAACAGATGCCTTTTCTGAGCTGCACTTTCCCAAGTAAACACATTACAGGGCTTCTTGGGACATTTTTGTAGGATGTGGTGCTGTGTTCCCTTGACTATTGGTTAGTTTGGGATCAGGAGACAAGAACTTGAAATTCTGTTTAATTTGCAGACCAAAGTTTAGCAAAACACTCCGTTTCCTTCCTGAGGTCAGTGCTGCCCAGAATACCTGAGTTGAATGAGCAGTCAACCCAGCGGTTCCCTTGAATGTAATGTGTCTTGGCTGGAGATGTGGCAGTTGGTGTAGCTCTGCTTGCCTTCACGGTGTCCTGAGTTCAGTCCCCAGTGCTGGAGAAAACACGAGTGGAATAACCCACCTATGATCCAGCCTTCAGGTGGCGGACGCATGAGGATCAGAAGTTCAAGGTCGTCCTTAGCTTTGGATCATATTTAGTGTCAGCCTAGAATAATTACAAACTGTCTGTATTTACAAAAAAAGTCTGTATTCTCATGGGTATGTTTTTTGTGTTCTCCTTCATAGCTGTTTGAAATCCATGACTGTCATCTGTGATGGCAGAGTTCAAATTTCCTAGATTCTGGATTTGCACTGCCCTGCTATGTCACCTGTTGTGCAAGCACCTCAGGCAGTTGTCCGTAACGTATCATTCAGTTCTCAATAATGCTAGCAAATTCCAGACTGACGTTGAATGTCTTCACATCATGACTGGTGACACAGGCTTCAAACACACACTGCGTTTGCGGTTTGCGACTTCCAGTATGTGTGTCACGTCTTCCCTGACACCCATCACATTGTTCTTCCTTTTTGACTCCTGCCCAGCCCTGGAGGGAAAATCACATGGGTCCCTCGCTGTACCCTAGGTCTAGCTACTCTGGAGCTGGCCACCTGTCTGTGGGGTACTTACCTGTTCTTCTAGCGTCATGACTCCTGCTGCAGTTGAGAACATGCTTTCCCCAGGCAACCTACAGATTTCCTCCATGGAGGACCGAGTGTTTTTAAACCGCAGTCTTCCAGTCAGTCCTCCAGCAGTGTTTCTGTCTAATTGGAGGATTCTTACAAAATGCCCATCTCTTTTAAGATGTAGCAGAGGTGGAGCTTTGATTTGTTAATGCTCGGATCATCAATCTGTTCTAGTTGAACTTGCTTATACGTGTCTGTCTTTCATGGCAATTAAATCAGATGGCAACCTTTAGGGATGATAAAAATTATTGTATGATATGAAATAGCACACTAAATAATTTATTAAATCATGCCAAATATTTTCAAAATAAACTGCACGATTGATACAATATAAAATTTTAAGTTTTGTCACACATAGTGTGACAAAAACAAAAACGAGACCCTTCCTTCAGCTCTTCAAAATGAATCTGATGTTGCCATACATATTATATTTTAAACCATAAATCCAAAATATACCCTCCAAATGAAGTGAAAACCCTTGACGCACTAATAAAAATGCTTTTGGAAAATTCTATTATAACAATTTGAAAGGAAAAATCCTGGCTTCATCACACCTATGTGAAAATCTTAGATAATATAAAGCAAAAAGCACATATTGATAAACGTAAAACATGGATTTGATGAGATATCCCATGAGGGAGATTCCACTGAGCACATTTCCCTTTTTCTTTTCTCATAACAATTCAAATCCCCAGCATGAAACTTCCAAGCAGGTTCCACTGTGCTGGCTGTTAAAGCTTCTACGTTGGAAAAATCCAGGGACTGCAGGGTGAATTCTCAGCAACTGCTGGATAGATTAAGTAATTTTTAACAATCTTAATAAAAATGTTCTCTGTGGATGGTGACACTCTTGAAAAACTTGTCTGCACACCACTGACAAATGAGAGAGGTGATGCTGCTTCCCGTGCTATGTGGTACACACTTCCCAAACAGTTTCCAGCATGAGGTGCAATGGAGAGGCTTCCAGAGAAATCTTGCTTGTCTATTAAATTCTGTAAATGCTGCTGAAGGCAATAATCAAATAAATAGCATGAATATGTGGAGAATTGGAAGGTCACCGAACCGTAGTCACTTCATTTCAAGCACAAGATCAGTCAGCTGCACAGGGAATAATTTTGTTATGAGGTGCCAGTGATTTAACAAGTTGGCCCAAAGTAGCTGGAATGTGGTGCGAGGATCACATCTCTGTTGAGCTGGGTTGCTCTGCATTGACTGGACACTTGATCAGATGGCCAGCACTCCTGCATTTGCTGTATAAGAATCTCAGGGGAAAAGTGACCAGTCTGCAGTACTGTCTTATTCATGATGTTGGGGAGTTTATTTGATTCTGAAAGCTTAGTTGAAATACCTACCTACTTCAATTCTTTTTAAAAGCCTTTTAGATTTATAGAAAAATGTCAATGTACCCCATAGGCTATGGGAAAAATGAAATTGAGTAACAAGATGCAGTTTGAGATTCTTGAAATCTAAGTATTCTGACACACTCTGAGAACTGATACTCGGATAGATGAGAGGGCAATGGTCTAGACTGGGATTGCAGGAAGTACGGAAGGGTTAAGTGGACACACATCCTGGCCAGGTGCCTTGGAACCATTACTCATCTTCTTGACATCCGGTTCTTCACCCATGTCTAGCACTCCAAAATGAGTAAACTGATTTTTTTTAACCATAATACAGTAGAGATGAGCGTATTTTCAAAAGAGGTTCTTTGTGAGACTAGTAACTGTGTATAATTCACTAAATAGCTATAATAAACGAAGTGTGAAGAGGGATGATATTTCATGCAACAAGAAAGTCTCTAAACGCTACTTTTTATTTGTTTTCTCTCTTTGGGTCATCTCAGATAATTACTTATGTACTTGACAAAGAAAACAGAAGTCATTGACATTCAAAACCCATCTTCTGTCTGCTGTGTGCACAGCAGTCAGTCAGGTAAAAAGGTTTTAGCTCTCAATGGAGGAAATGTACTTAGGTCTTCTAAGGTTTGCAGTTGATCAGAGAAGGCAGAATGCTAACAATAAAAATAATACGTAGTGAGGGCTATGACATAATCCTACAGAGGTCTCCGAAATTCATGATTCTAAGTGAGGTTTTACATGTCAGTGAGCATATGTGATCCAGATGGACTTCGGGATTATCTACTTCATTTACGTTTTCAATTTTCATCCAAATGTTCACCCAGAGCAACTACTTCATAACATCATGCAGCTTCCATATGCCCCGAGGATCAGTCTGGATATGCAGACTGTTAAAGTCACCATTGATTAGGTGCCAAAAAAAAAAAATTGAAGATGTGCTGGGTACTGTATTGTTCGGTAGAACTAGAACTTCAGAATCATTTGTAATCGGAAATTCTTTTCTTCCTCTTGTCATTTGCACTCGCTCTTCTCTTCCCCAGGACATCTACTTGGCCTCTCCCATGATGATTCCAAATTCTGTGAAGAGAATTTTGGTTCCACAGAGGACAAGCGTTTAATGTCTTCAATCCTCACCAGCATTGATGCATCCAAGCCGTGGTCTAAATGCACTTCAGCCACCATCACAGAATTTCTGGACGATGGCCATGGTATGTAGCTTTGAGGACAACATAGACTCATGAAAACAAGTTCAGATTTTTGCATCATGATGGCCTCATAATGCTCCAGTCATCCTGTGAGAAAATGGTTGCTCAGACAGTTTCAGAAAAGAAGCAAGCAAATTGATTGCCTCTTGGCATACAATGCCAGCATCCCTGGTGGTATTACAGCTATGGTAATTTTGCTGTTGACTTAAAAAGTTCAAAAGGGAAACAGTGTGGGAGACCACACAGAACGCCTAGCAGTGGGTGCCCTGAAAACCTAGCATTTATTTCCTCTTTCACCAGTAAGTTCCTGTGAGAACATTGGTTGACATCTTCGCTTTCATGATATTAATGTATCTCAGAATTATTTGTTGCATGTCTATTATAAGGGTTTGGTTAAGAAACCATAATTCTATTGGATTCTCTTTATAGCAACACAAAACCAGGAAAGGAAGCTCTTTAGATATTCATTGACTAGAAAATTTTGAATTCATCCTGACAGCAGATTCTTCTGGAAGTAGAATAAAAACTACAGAACAAAAATAGCAAAGCCATGGTGGGAAGAGACTTTAGGAACTTCAAAGGAAATTTGCTGGCTTTATCCTTTACGGGCAGTTCAAGAACATAACATACTTTATTAAACACTCTAAGACTAGGATTAGCGCTGTAAGTCATATGAAAGTACAGAGGAAGTCACAATTTCTAGAAATAATAAATCCTGCTCCATAAGTAGTCCTCGGAACAAGCTGCTGTGAGTTTCCTCTCGTCTTTTACTGTTTTAGCATCACAGAAATGAGGCAGGCTGGACATGCACAGTTGGAAGGAATCCTTGAGATCATAGACTTCAACTTGCCCAGCTTTCAGAAAAGAGTGTGTTCTGTCTTCCTTCTGATCTCTTAAAAGATGTCTCTTTCTGAAGCAGGAGGCTAAGTCTTAGACTTTGAAGATAATAACAATGCCCATAAGCGTTCAATGAGTCATTGTTCAAAGCAGGACCCAGGGAATCTACAATTACCATCTTTACCCTGATTTTCAAAAAGTTTTGATTTATAAACACCTGATATCTCAATGTGTTAGGCATTTTGAACTTCGACTAAAGGCCAAAACAATCAGTGAATTAAATTCATCTCAAATACAGGGGTGCTTTCTACACAGCGTCTTTTATGTTGTGTATTCAAATGTGTTCATTTTACTTCATGCTTCCCTATATTAGTGTTGAACTGGTAAATCTCCCATGGATTCTATAATTTACATTTCATAATCTTAAAAGTAATCTGTCTCTAGCCTTGCTTGGATATTCTTCTGATATTAGCAGCATGGTAGTGCAAACCTGTAAACCTGGCACTCTGCAACCTGATACAAGATGACTGTGAGGTCCAAGGCAGTCTCAGATGCAGAGCAAAGCCATGCCAAAAAAAAAAAACCAATTATTTTTATCAATACCAAATAAATAACTTTAATAGTAGAAAACAGACTCTATATTTTAAAGACTTAGTAACATTACCAAGACCCATCTATCTTTCCCTTGCACTAAATTAAAATGGCAATTGCCAATTTTCTTGGTTACTGTGCTGGCCAAATCCTGAAGTAGATGCTTCTGTAATCATTACTGAACAAGTCACTCCCTGAGAAGGTCTCTCTCTCTCTCTCATAGAATCTTAACTCTCTACTCCCAATACTAACCCTATTGCTTCATCTTTTAAGAAACAGCAAGAATATTTTACTTCTGAATTATGTATTACACATTCTAAAAGTCTGACCTCAACCATGCATCTCTAAATGAATGGATCAAGTTGTAAAGGCAGCAAATTCTTATGGCAAAAATAGGTCAGCTTTTCACCTCATGTGCACATTAGCTCGGGCACAAAGCAGTGTGGAATTGTTTTCCCTTGGCTGTAATTTTAGAAGGATTCCTTTATTTCACATTTGTGGAACTCAGGGTTTTACTTTCAATGCAATAACTATGCTTCCAGCATTGCTTTACCTTTTAACAGAATTTCTATATTTTAAACGTCCATAATTGTGGTTTTTAATTTTCACCAAACTTCCATTTTTGGGTCAGTTTCTATTCAAAAAGATTTCTGATAGAGACCAGCTAAGAACACAGTCATAGTAGAAACAGATCATATTCGTTTGCACTAATAAAGATTGTCTGAGTCTCCCAGATGTGAATTAAATAAACAAGGGAATTGCCAGGGTTCTCTGGACAAGAAAATATTTACTTATTTAATCAAATCTAGATACTTTCATTTTTGAATATGTTGATTTCTGTTAGGTGGTCTTTCATTTCAACCAAGAATGAAAAATTATATGTTTTCAATCACTTATAATGATGAAGGTAATTTCAGAATAAGGAAAAATAAGGAAAGATGGTGTGCAGTGCTACCTGAGCCATGGCTCCTGTCAAAAGACCATTCCCCGATATAGTATTCCAGAAGGAGCTCTCTAGCTCTGTTATTTAAACGAGAGCTGAAAAGTGTAATAACCTTGTAATTATGATTTTAAAATACCTATAAGTCAGTTTAAGAGAAAGTATGGGAGCAGGAACTGCCAAGCCCATTTTTTCAGATGATTAGAGTACTGACTTTTGAACTACTAACTTAGGAAATCAAGGAAAAACCCCCAAGTCCAAGATGATTTATAAACAAGCACACAGACACACATTGGTCCAAAGACTAACAGATTTCATCACCCCATAGCATACCACTTATTTTACACGTTCTTTATAGGAAGGCAATGAAGTAACCACTTAACAACCTTGTGGTTGGGATTTAATGTTCTAGGTCACTAAAACTTCACAGCAAGACAGTACTGATGGGCATAGGGAAGACTTGACAGAAGTAAACACAGGACAAGTGAGCTCACTTGACAATAAAGAAGTAACAAAATTGGTAAACAGCAGACCTAAAACCCACCAGCCAGCCAACAAAATATGTGTAGTAACCTAGTGCCCCTTTCCTACACATTAACAGTGTGATGTCCATTATGCTTCTCTCATTCCTAGAGGGACTTTGGCCAGAGGCAGTGATCTCTACACAGGTAAGATGGACTCTCAGCTACTTAGGAAAGTTAAATTGAGACACTCAGATAAAGGCAGCAAAACATGTCATGTTTAAGTCGGGACCGTAACCAACCATGTCCAGTGTTTTGATGGTGCCCAAAGAGCACACGGTCTGAAAACACATGTTTGGTGTGACATCACATCCTTTCTACTTTCACTTCCAGCAGCATTGAAGCAAAGAGAAGCTAGAGTAAAATTAAACTCAAAGCATTTGATTTATTTTTAAAATTATTAGCCATAAGTAGCTGAGCATTTGTAGCACTCTGCTGCTGCCAGATTTAAATTCATTAGTACTGAGTGTTTCCTGATTTAGGTCCAAGGAGAAATGTGCAGTGGTTCAGTTATGACTGGGAAGCCAAAGTGCACACTCTAAAGTAACTGTATCTGCAGACTTGGGATTCGGAACAGAAGTAGCCTTGCCTCATGGGACTCCCCCACCCCCGCAAATGTTGCAGTGTTTATACAAGTTAGCTGAAGGCAAACTGGCTGGGAGTGTGAGCCTTGAAAATAGCGGTAAGCACAGGCAGAGAAATTGTGCAAGGAATGCAGGTTATTGAATTTCCTTTACCAAAGGCTTCCTAACCTTGAGTGAAGCCCAAGGAGATAGTTTTGTTTGCTACATCCTGAAGCCCTCTGCCAATCTATGAGAAAGACCATCTGGGTACAGCTAAATAACACCAGCAACCAAGGCTGATAAGGGAAATGTATGGTGGATACCCAAATTTTCTTATCGTTTACTTAAAGAATGAAAGTTATGGCTACTCAACAAGCAAAGAACTATTGTTAGAAAATAGAAATGGAAAGCTATATGTCTGATTTATTTGTTAATTTCCAACTATAGGAATAGCAATAAAGATATAAAGTCAGTTTTTAAGGTGAAATTAATAAATTTGAAGCCTATTATGGCTATATCTTAGTTTCTCACAAAGAGTATGTTTTTGAAATTACGAGCAAATAAGACATACACTAAGGCCGTAATTTAAAGCTTTGTATCAACATACATTGTGGAGAATGCTTGACCTCACTCCTTCACTGTTATGTATGACGATGACCATATAACGCTTCCAACAGCTGCAGAGTTCAGAGTTCACTGTCAGTCAGCATCATCAGTTCCTTTGGCAATGTTCTCATAATGCACTTCTCATTGTTGACGTTAGACGTGCATCCAAGAACCTCAGAGAAAGTATGCAAAGACTAGAAGCTTTAGCCAAAAACAAATGGGTGCAGAGAAAGCGTTGTGAGGCCTCAGACACTTTCCAGGGTCATTCATTGCATTTGTCCAACCTGCAGATATTTGGGCCAGTGCTCAGTCTTATACCTGAGTGCCACAAGAGAAGATGGAAATAACTGAAGTACTAAAAAGTAGAAAAAGATGAAATCATTTTTTAAAGAAGAAACCTCAGCCCATAATTTCTTCTTACCATTAACAAAGCAGACAACCCTAAACAGCATCTAAATGTTTTAGGTTCTATTTCCTAGAGGCAAGTTGGACCTTCATTTTATTTACTGGTGGACTATAGAGCCCAAGGAGAAACAATCATTCTTCCATTTACCCATTTCAAATGATAGTTTGATTTTGAATTGTTAGCCTTATTTCATATTTTTAATGTTGTATGCATGGGAAAACATGCCTGGTATGCATATATGCCTGCTGATTTTACATTTTATATATGCCAAATGAGACAGTAGAAGAAAAGTAGAAAGGAAGAAAGGGAGGGAGGAAGGGAACAAGGGAGGGAGGGAGGGAGAAAGGAAGAAAGAAATGAAGGAAGAAAGGAGAGAAATGGAGAAAGGAAGGGAGGTAGGAAAGCACAATTTGGCAGTTGAGCAGAACAAAGCCTAGGTAGAATTTCAGACTAATATTAACTTTTTAAACGTGAAGTAGTTGTGAAGGAGTGACCAAAAGTACGCGTAGAACTGATAAAGGAAAAGCCAACCGTCAGTGGCTTCCAACAAAGGTCAAAATAAAATGTTGAGAGTGGGCTTCAGTCTCCCACCAAACCAGTTGTACTTCTGAAAGTGAAGACCCAGATTGGATAACCCATGATTACATCGTTTTTGAATACTGTGACATGCTGTGAGCTTCAGAGTCAAACACTGGAATGATCTTCATCATTTCCTGGCATAAGGTTTCCATGTGGTAGAGCTGTCTGTACTATTTCATTACAGAAGGGCATCATTAAATATAAAACAAAGTTACTAAAGTGCTTACTATAGAGTAAGCAGAATGAGTGCAGACACAAATCTGTTTTTAAAAGTCAGTAAATTGATGTCAATCATTTGAGGAAGGAAATCATTTTATTTCAAACAAGAACATGTCACTTCCGTGTTACCTCTTTTAAAAAACTGTTATTTTAATTGTACTGTATTACACTTTGTAAAGACCTCTTTCAACTTTAAGTGCCCATAGCAAAAATCAATTCCAAATTCCTAGCAATCCACATGCTTCCTTTCTCATATCCTGTGAAGTAGGGTGGGTATCAGTGACTATGTGTCCATCTGGAGATGATCGCGTGTGCTGGTTCACTATAAACAGAGTAGACCCATGCCCCATTTGTTTACACATGGCTTATGAAGTCAGTCTATGGTCTGGACTTTTCAGGGAAAAAGAAAAGAACCACTGAAAGCAGCACTTTTGAAGACCTGGAAGGCATTCCCGCTGATTCTGAGATTTGTCCAGTGTCCTGGCATCAGCAATCTGCTAAGGTTTCTCTCTGATTTACACAGCAGCCATTTCAAGGAGCAATGAAGATGACATTTTTCCCAGAGGTCCAAAGTGCCTGCCCTTCCTCAGTTCTGTTGAGAACACTTAGTGGGGTTTTACTATCATTCCTTTCTCTTGACTTGAGGCTAATGTTTTCCTTTTAACTTGATGTTTTTCTCCCTAAGTTCTCTTTGGCGAGACTCTCATTTCTAAAGCTTTTTCTGGCTGGCCTTAGAGAACTTTACCTCTTCCAACGCGCTGGCTTGGTTGGTTAAATGGGACTTTGCTATTTATTCATTTTCATATAATGCCTCTATCTATCACAGATGGACAAATAGGGTACGGAGCTCTCTTTGTAGAAACTTGAGTGCAGTTGTAAAAATGTTTGCAGTACTCTCAGAAATGCTGAGCACTTATTTTCTGGGTGTAAGCAAAGATTTTAATATGTAAGAGTTTTTGTTGGATAACAGGCATTGACTTTCAGTTCCGATTGAACACTAAACCAACTATCATTGTTTCATCTATTTCTGTCTTTTTTGAACTTTCAAAACCAATTCTACCTTTACCATACATAGTGAAAACAGTAAACATATTACAGAATTCTAAAATAAATTAGGGAGAGGTTAATTAGCTTGGCTAAAAGCACACAAGCACATGGGAAGAGGTAATCTAGAACTGGTGAAGGGGGTGTGCCATCAACCAGGTATTGTTTGTAGCCGTAAATGGCATAGTTACTATGAAGTTTGCAATTAGAGTTCCTCCAAGCCCTTCCTCATCTCCTCTGTGATGGTGTTCGCAGCTGAATATTATAAAACAGTCATATAGAACAGTAACACTGGCAGTCTTAAGTCCATCATCATAGCCACTCCAAGGGTCCATCATTTTAAGAGAATCCTAGAATCCAAATCGAGAGTCAGCCCTGTTCACTGCATCCCCATGAGCGAACAGGTGGTCCCTGAAAAACCTAGGGGAGAGGAATGAAGGGACAAGAGACACGAGAAATGACGGCAAGACAGGATTTCTGGTCAAGCCGACCAGTTTATTATTTCCTCAGAAGCTGTTATATAGCAAACGGGCAAAGTGGGGAAGGGAAAGGTGTCAGGGGGAAGGAAAGGGTGTCAGGAAAGTCCGGTCTGCTGGAATTCAGGTCTGGAGCCATCCCCAGCTGATTGGTAAATATTGAGGATTTGTGATGATTGACTAACAAAGGAAAATGCTAACTGATTCAGGAGCCTGGTGCCTGCAGGTCTGTGCTAGGAGATAAGCCGCCAGGTTGATTTCCTAGACCCTGCGGAGGGGATAGAAGTAAATATTTTTCTCAACTGGTGAGCTTAAGATGGCTGTAAACAAAATGCAGGTCTCAAAATACAGGTCTTTGCTTCCCGCACAACTCTGCAGACCGTCAGGTGTGTTATACTTCGGCACCTCCTGGAAGATTTAATTTTTAGATCCCTTATCATAAAAGTTTCAAACCTAAGCCCAGGCTGATTGTGAGTCTTGTTGGCTCTCTTAGGTAACTGTTTGCTCGATCTGCCACGGAAGCAGATTCTGGGTCCTGAGGAGCTCCCGGGACAGACCTATGATGCTACCCAGCAGTGCAACTTGACATTTGGGCCTGAATATTCTGTGTGCCCCGGCATGGATGTCTGTGCCCGGCTGTGGTGCGCTGTGGTGCGCCAAGGCCAAATGGTGTGCCTGACCAAGAAGCTGCCTGCCGTGGAGGGGACGCCCTGTGGGAAGGGCAGAATCTGCCTGCAGGGCAAATGTGTGGACAAAACGAAGAAAAAATATTACTCAGTGAGTGTCTTTTTTTATTATTTTTATGTCTTGGTCAACTGAAGCCTCAAGACCCAACAGAGGAAGTGCTTTTCGGGACATGCATGGTCACAGTCATCAGAGGGCTTCATTTCCTAGCCAAGAGATTTTGTCCTTCCATAATCTATTCAAACTCCGTTTGCCATTTACAGCAGCCCTACCAGCAGCCAAACACAGGAAAACCTGCCACCAACAGGGATTTCTTGGCAAGTCGCAGTATTTCACACACAAACCCATATTCACACCTCAGAGCAGAGCCTCTGTGGTGCATTTTGGAAGCTCACTTTTAAAAGCCTCTTACTGAAGTTACCAGAAAGTGTCTACCGAAGTGTGTGTGGAAACAGTGACAGAGGAGGCACTATGCTCCTTGACCATATCTTGTAAGGTCCCAAATGGTCACCTTTTCCTGACAGAAAACCATGTAATGTTAGAAGCTATGGCTTACAATGCAATACACAGTACACATTGCCTGTGTCTTGTCTGCAACCTGAAACAGGCAATCAGGAGCTTATATTTTCTAGTCAAAATAGTTCATACTGTAACACCTACTACAGTCTCTCGGATTCCTCCTGTAGTATCTCCACAGGAAGAAATTTAGAGTTTGGTGCCTAGGGCTATCTTCCCACGTGGAGTGTGTGGGCACAGAGGCTGAGGGTGCCCTTCATTGCCTATTGCATCTAATTGGGAATGCAGCCAGGCTCAGCTCAAATGTATTCATGGGTGAGGCAGAATCTTCATAGCCAGATTGTGTGATGTCAACAAAGGCACCAAAGAATGTTAGGACTAAATAGAGGACAGAAATGTAAATGACCAACCAACATCTTACAAAGCCATCAGCATGATGCATTTTATTATTGGTCCAAGATGAAAGTAAAAAGAATATTAACAAGGGTCTGTGATTATAAACAAGGGCTTTACAGTATCAGAAGGCAGAATATAAAATGACCAGAGAAAACAGCATGTAATCCTCTCCATGTGCTCACAACTTAGGGTGGTATCTTTGACCCTGTACTGGTAGAAACAAGGTCCTGAAACAGATGACCTGCTTAACGCTGGAAATGGGCTGAAATCCTTTAATTGGAGCATTAGCTTTCACTCGGATGTTATACGCGTGTGACTCCAATGTACATGTGGGACATTTTTCCCGCCAGAGTTAAAAGATCTTCTGCTTTCTATTTCAGACATCAAGCCATGGAAACTGGGGGTCCTGGGGCCCCTGGGGCCAGTGTTCTCGCTCGTGTGGGGGAGGAGTACAGTTTGCCTACCGCCATTGCAATAATCCTGCACCTCGAAACAGTGGCCGCTACTGCACAGGAAAGAGGGCCATATACCGCTCTTGCAATGTGACACCCTGCCCACCTAACGGTATGATGCTCCCTGACATCAGTAACAGCATGTGTCATGTGTGGTCCCCATTTTAGTAGAAATAAGCCCAGGAGGCTGGAGAAGCTGCATTAATCTCATAATGGATAGATCCACTAATATGTAAATTAATATCAAAGATGGGAGTGATTTTTAAATTATCACAGACAACAGTGTCTCTAAAGGGCTAGGAGAAAACACTTTTGTTTTCAACTGTTCATACCAAGGTACTTTAAACACTGCTGCATAGAGAGCTCTTCAGTATAGAAATCATTAACATTTTCTTTTAAAGTTAGTAAGTTATGAATGCCGCCCATTTTGTTTCCTAGGTAAATCTTTTCGTCATGAACAGTGTGCAGCCAAGAACGGCCACCAGTCTGATGCAAAGGGACTCAAAACATTTGTGGAGTGGGTTCCCAAATATGCTGGTGTTCTGCCAGGAGACGTGTGCAAACTCACCTGCAGAGCCAAGGGCACTGGCTACTATGTGGTCTTTTCTCCAAAGGTCTGTCCAGAGCAGTAGCCATCTCGGGTAGCAAGTAGTTCATAGAGTAAAGTCTATATCTGTCAAATGTACATAGTCGTGATTTCAGAACAGTTACATTTGAAAGGTTTTCATTTTCATCACAGAACAAGTACATGCTTTAAAAATCATTTTTTGAGAAGTACAGTTTTCCCATTGTTTGGGAAAATAAATTATGGTACTAACTTCAAAACAGTCTAGAAAAGAACTTCCATTTTCCAGGAAAATTTTGTAAGAAGACTATTGGGAAGAAAGAGTTCTCTTTTCAGCTGCTACTTAAAAATTCATGTATTCAGTCTTAAAGATAGGTTTCAAGGTCATTGTCTTTGACACAGGATTTAGAATTAATCTTAGACCCTCCCCATGAATCAAAGTCCTTCTCGTCGCTTATATTATGATAGATGTGTACTTATTCCTCATGTTTTACAGTAAACATTTTCTAAATATACTAAAAGAAATATACATCATTTTAGGCATCATGCAGCAGTTTAGAAAACCATTTATCAATTTTCAAACGTATGACACATTTAAAACACGTCTGCAATCAGCCTTCAGCTGTATCTGTACACCTGTGTCTCTACATCATATACTGCTGAAAAGTCTGTTAATGTCCAGTTCAAGCATATATTAATATATCATATCTATTTACTTATTAATTAATACATTTTCTAAAAAATTACAAAGAAATTAAAACAAAAATCTAGAAATATAACTGTGAAGAGAATTATTAACACTTTAAAGGCATTCTACTTCAGTTTACAAATAAACACACAAATTCACACACATGTCTGAAAGAGTCATATGCATACAAATTTAAAGTGCATATATGATATATATATATATATATGAGTATATGAGTACACATGAACATAAGCACACCAGTTTCTGTACATGCTGTGTTTAAATGGCTTTGGAACAACAACATAACTCTCTCCTTTATTCAGAACCAAATATTCCAAAACCAAGTATTTCCAAACATTTTGAAAACAATCCTCCCCAGGTACTCTTTCCTGTACAAATCTGTTTGTCTTTACTTTGATGCCTGGAGGTCCAACATACAATGACCATAGTAGGGTTTTAAATAAGTCTAAATTTTCCAACTTACTGCTATAAAAATTGACAAAGAAGAAAAATCTTTGTATTCTTAAGACTGCTGATGTTCAGATCTCTACAGGAGTTATAGTCTTTCATGAAGTTAAAAGTCTTTTCATCAATGTAAAAAAGTCAAGGTGATACAGTGGGACTGTTTTATAAATAGAAAAATGGAGATTAGTAACCCAGATCACCAAACATAATAGGCAAGAAGTTCAAGAGAGAAAGTGTATAACCGAATCTTTCTCATAAAAATATGTACTGTTTTTTCCCATTTAGAATTTCCTGGAAACTAAATGGTTGATTATTTTTTAATGGTTTAGCTTTTAAGATTTGTTTTATTATTTTAACTGTATTGTGTTGGTATGTGTGCATAAGAGGAGGTGCCTAAGGGAACCAAACGCATTGGATGCCCCAGGAGCTGGACTTACAGATTGCTATGAAACATCTGTCATGGGTGCTAGGAACTAACCTCGTGCCTTCTGCAAAAGCAGTATTTGCTCTTGACCTCTTAATCATATCTAGTTTATTTTTGAATGCATAATTTATTACAATAAAAATTCAAAATTATAACTTTTATTTACATCAAAGAACCAAATCCCAGACATACCTATTGCTGTTCTTTTTGTCATACACAGGTTACAGATGGGACTGAATGTCGGCCATACAGCAACTCTGTGTGTGTCCGAGGAAGGTGCGTAAGAACTGGTTGTGATGGCATCATTGGCTCAAAGCTGCAGTATGACAAGTGCGGAGTATGTGGAGGGGACAACTCCAGTTGTACAAAGGTTATCGGAACCTTCAATAAAAAAAGGTAACTTGATAGCAGCACCTTAGCCCTCGTGGGAACTAAACATGGTTTTAGATTCCTGTGAAGCTGATATGGGAGACTCATATTCCTGCATCAGCTCTTTGTAGGAGAAGGTCTAATGTGACTATAGCAATGCTTTCTGCATATGAGGAAGGGAGGAGAAGAGCTGAAGTGGTCTCTGTGGCTGATGGAAATTTTAAATGCCTCTGGAAGCAAACTACAACAGCTGTGGACCCAAGATCTTAGGATTAGAGACAGAAAGAAACAATGGATACTGTCCCATAAAGTGGTACCCAACACATCTGTCATTCCTAAAGCCTCATTTGGAAGCGGTAATTGGCTTCAGCTTCAGTTATTTTTATATTTTTAAGTTTTATTTTATGTGTATGGGAGTTTTTGTCTGTGTGTACATCTGTGCACCGCTTGTGTGCACGTCTGTGCACTGCTTGTGTTCCTGGGGCTGGAGAAAGCCCTAAGAAAGCATTTGATCCCTTGGGACTTGAAGATACAGAAAGTTATGAGCCACCATGTGGGTCCTGGAACCAAGTCCTCTCGAAGAGCATCCACAGTACTCTTTCAACCACTGAGCCATTCTTCTTTCCCTTTATGATATTTTTAATTTATTCTGAATATCTTTGAATATCTCATACATGTGTACAGTGTAATTTGGCCACACCCACATCTGCTCCTTCAACTGCCACTGAACATGTGTGCTTCCCAACTTCATGCTTCTTCCTTCTTCTTTCCTCTCTTCCTCTGTTGTTTCCTCTGTTTGTTAGGTTTTTCCTATTATTTTTGTTCTTTTTGAGGCATTGCCTTGCTATGTAGACCAGGGAAAGTTTGTCCATCTGGTCGTCTTCTTGCCTTTGTGCTAAGATTACAGGTGTAAGCTGCCATGCCTAGCTCCCTTTGCTATTTTTATAGCAAACAAATTCTCATTGGTCAGTGTGCTTTTCTTCAGAAAACTTTGTTCCCTGGTAAGTGTAAGTTAACTGAGGTGCTATGACAACAATCCCATTTTTTCTTAAAATAATAGTACGTACTCATGATGTAGCAACAAAATTTTACCTTACATTTAATTTTTTTGTCCCATAAAATCTAGGAAGGCTTCTAGAGGCAGAGTTATTCAACAAATAACCAAACCTGTGCTCTTAAGTCAGTATATTGAAGCAATATGAAGACCTCTAAGAATAGCCCCTGAAGTCCATCTTGAAAGACAAAGAGTTGCCTGGCTTGCGGCACACTAATAGGGCTTATTATCTGCTGGTGAATGCAATGTCAGAAATATTAAATATTTCTAAGAGATTAACTGAGGACAGATTTGTCCATTTATCATCTCATTTAGTCTACCTTGTGCCTGGGGGAACATAAATATCTTTGTAAGTATGGAACATATGGATAGAGATACAATGATTTTACAAATCTCTTCATCCACTTCTAAAATAAGTAAGTAAAATAAAAACTAAGGTTGCTTGCATCATCTTAATTTTGAATATTCCAATAAAAACAGATATAATGTAATATTTTAGTGCAAGTTTCAATTTTGTCCTATCAAAAAGATTAAAGTCGATTTAAACTTAAGTTCTCAAATACACTAAAAGTTTATGTTAAGAGGAGGGAAAACTTTTAGAAAATTTCTATGTGTTTATCCATGTCTAGGTATATACTAATTCTATCTCATTGTCCCTTTCTTTCCTTCACCTCCCATGTGGACATTCTTGCCTACAGTAAGGGTTACACAGATGTTGTGAGGATCCCTGAAGGAGCAACTCACATAAAAGTCAGACAGTTCAAAGCCAAAGACCAGACTAGATTCACTGCCTACTTAGCCCTAAAGAAGAAAAATGGCGAGTACCTTATCAATGGCAAGTACATGATCTCCACTTCAGAGACTATCATTGACATCAACGGCACAGTCATGAACTACAGTGGGTGGAGCCAGAGAGATGATTTTTTGCATGGGATGGGCTACTCAGCAACAAAAGAAATTCTGATTGTCCAGATTCTTGCAACAGACCCAACTAAGGCATTAGATGTCCGTTACAGCTTTTTTGTTCCCAAAAAGTCCACTCAAAAAGCAAACTCTGTCATTAGCCACGGTAGCAACAAGGTGGGATCACACACAACACAGCTGCAGTGGGTGACAGGCCCATGGCTGGCCTGCTCTAGGACCTGTGACACGGGCTGGCACACCAGGACGGTGCAGTGCCAGGATGGAAACCGGAAATTAGCAAAGGGATGCCTTCTCTCTCAGAGGCCCTCTGCATTTAAGCAATGTTTGCTGAAGAAATGTTAGCCTGTGGTTTGTTCTCATGCACAAAGATAACTGGAGGATCGTCGTAGAGATACTTGTGTTTGAAGACAAGGCCTACCCAAGGCATAGAAAGTAGTGTCTGAGCATCATTGTCACCAGGAGTCGAATTTTGGGCAGAATCCGCTCTCTGCGACCAAAACATGTACACTACTTCATGTCATGGTGGTGACCTTGGATGCAGAAAACCTGGGAGGTATGGAACATCCCCGGGCCTACGCAAAGGAGACACACCAAGATGAATGTAGAACCGAGGACAATTGAAGATGGCAGAGAAGTTTTGTCACCTACCTCTTATAGAATGTCTTCAGAGGCATCGTGATCATGTTCAGGCATGATACACAGCTTCCTTTTACTGTTTGTAAATGCATCGCCCTTGGAATGTCACTTTATATACTTGGTTCTATATATACATGTATGTATGTATGTATGTATGTATATGTATATTTCTATAAGAAAGTATTTGACCAAAGTAGGTCTGCAGCTATTTCAACTTCTAGCTTCCAGAAAGAGCTGTGGAAGATTTACTGGAAATTAAGAACTTGCTGCTGTTAAATAAGATTTGTATATTGTCTGACTGCAGGAGATAATGTTTTAGTCAAAAAAACATTTTGACAGCATGCATCTTCTGAGAAATGCTAAATGGAGAAAGGATCTGTATGTATCTGGTCATTTAAACGCATCCTCAGGTCCACTACTCTAACCTTTGCCTGTCTGTAATTTTTTCAGGCAGCCAGCCAAATTATTTTATCAGTGTGGTGTAAAAATTATGGTTTCCTGTGTATATGTGATCAATATCCAAGGGTCTTAAAAAATTAGTTTGCTTGTATTGGAATTTAAAAGAAAAAAACATGTCACTGTGTTTTTAGTTTATATTTTCACAACTGCTTACTCTCTGTGGCTCGCAGCTACTAGCGCACAATGTGTAGCAGACATACAGGACACACAGCCTCAAGTTATCTGTCACATCCAGCACCTTCACCACCAGCATACCTCTTCTCGGCCAGCCTTTAAACCTGTTCGTGTCTGCTCGTTTGTTTTTCCCAAGGATTGGAAGGGACTTCTGTTCTGTATTAACTGGGTCTAACAGTAATATTAAAATCACCTCATGTTTAGTCTCATCAAGAAGGAACAATTGGTATTAATTCTATTAATTCAAGAAATCAAACTCATTAGCATTAATAAGACTGTTTCCACATCATAGAAATCATCTCATAATTTAAAAATGTAAGCATATATTCACTATTTTAGAGAGTTTTCCCAGTTGTGAAGTGCTTGACTATACCAACGAGTGTATAAGTAATGGAATGTGAGGGTTTTCAGGAAGTCTCTTGCCTGTGCGGGAAGGTTGCATATTGAAAATATTTAATAATCATAAGCAGAAAATTTCCTTTAGACCACACACTGCACAACCCCCGAGAAAACTCACATAATATAATGTGTTTTTTCCTACTGGGATTTTTTTCTTCTCCGTGAGATATTGCAAGCAAATTGTTTTATGTGAATTTTATAGCGATCATACCTAATGTGCCTACTGTTAAGGGTTTGCAAACAAGGATTTTAAGAAATCCTGGCTGAAATTTCACTAAATGTATTAAAACTTATTTTATTATAGGATATTTTAATATAAAGAATTATGTAATTGATGAATCTATATTACCTTTATTTCAGCAGACCAGAAAGAAACCAAAAGGAATTTTACTGTCTTTTTTTTTTAAAGAAATTATTTTGTGAAACAGATCAATGCTCTTCTAAACACATCACTATCCTTTAGAATCTCACAATCTGGTCTCTTTATATAAAGACATTCAACCTATACCAAACTGGTGGCTAATATTGATTGAATGTCTCTAGATATAGACTAGGGAATGAATCCAGTCAAACTGGTCAGAAAACAAAAGATTAAATATCACAGTGATTATTTAACTGTACAAAGAGAATGACTAGAGAGTTTAAGGTAATTTTTTCCTGTTTAAAACAATACAAACCAAGTAGTTCAAATGTGACAAAATTCATATTTTTATCTTTTTTGGTTATATTAAAGAATAAAGAGTATACATGATTGTCACCCACTTCGCTTCCCCATACAATCTTCATAGATTTTAAGAAGATTTTTCAGGGCTTTGCTTTTCTCTTCAATCATGAAGCTCTGCTCTTCACACTTGAAGAGCCCCAGAGAGGACAGAAAAACAAACCACTATTGTATGTCTGAAGGAATTCTCTCTCCATTTTAAAAGGAGAATCCTCCATTGAGGGGGGAATGTATATAAAACTCCTAAGGAAAGAGATGCAGCCAACTGAGATTCAGAAAAGGGTGTCAGAGAGGGAAAGAGTGATACGTGATGGGGGTGAACGTGTGCTGTGTCTTCCATCTCTCCATTGTCTATCTTGAATTTTTTTAAAGACCTTGGGTTTAGAATGATGAATAAATGTGAGGGAAGACAACACTCAGATAACAAAACTCCTCACCTCACTTGTATAAAAGTCACTCTAGAATAAGTTTTATTAAGTACAAGAGAGCCCAAAATAGAAGAGCACCTTGTCCTTTTTGAACAGAAAACATCACATGAACCCTCCTCATTGCTTGGAAGCATAAGAGCGTTGTTATAATGTATTTAACAGATTCAGCATTCATTGTCTTCCTGTGGAAACAGTTTTAAACTAAGAATTGAGGGATGAGTCACAAATGAACAAAAAAAAAAGTTTCAGCACTGAAAAATAAGTAATTTATTGTTTTTCCAACTGCTATGTGAATTTCTGTGATGAAATTATTTATTTTTATTTAACAAAAATTATGTGCAAATTCTTCTATGTTTAAGATGTTTTGCTATTGTCCTATTTTTTAATTTATGCTTCCTGTTTGTGTATAAAGTGCACTTTGTGAGTTTATATACTAGACACTACTGGTGACTTTTGTATTTTCTTTCTTTTTTATAGAAAGCTTTCTGTGTGCAACAGGTGTATGTGTGCACATCCTCATGTACTTGTAATCTGCCACTCTCTTACATTTAATCTTCTGTGGCTCATAGTGCTCCTTACTGCTATTTTAATAGGTCATTTAAATCTTAATAACATAGGGTTTTTTCAGGTCATAAGTTTAAAAATGCCTATTTAATCAAGCAAGTTGCAAGTTTTTAACGGGAGGACATACACAACTTGCAAGTACCCCAGAGAAGTTAAGCCACAAAGGAGAATCTGGTTTAAAACAGACCCAGTGGTACAGGCCTGCAATATCAACAGGAGGCTGAAGTAGGAGGATCATGAATTCAAAGTCAGTCTGGGGTATATAGCAGATCCTTATCTGGGGAGAAGAAACAGACTCAGTTTTGTTCATATCACTGATAAACACATACAAGGGGCTGTTAGTGCATTATATGAAAGATATGTACACCAGCTTCTACATGAATAGAGGAAAAATAAAAACAAAATCTTCCAGTTTTAGAAGCATCTCCCCAAAATACTCTGAATTAGTATCTTTTATCTCTAGAGATTGGATAGATGATATCAAACAAAATGGGTTTGTGTGATTCTGATCGTATGAGTGACTGCATTGTCTATGGGTATAGAAGGACACTGCAGAATTGACATTTTATAGCTGTCCATCTGTCCAGAGTGATAAGACCTGGAATTAGCAGGAAAAGCTCTGGTAAAAGCAGCTCATCTGTGATTGATTGCACAAGCCAGTTGTAGCAATAAGGCCAAGCTCTCTTGGACCCACTGTGCAGCTCATTGGGTCAACCCTGACTTTGATGTTCATCCATTAATACCTTCTTTGTTAGCAAGAAAACCACATGAGTGTAACAAGCAAGAACTATAGGCTGGTTTGGAAGTCCAAGGTGTTCACTCTGATTACAGCTCATTGTTAGACATATGTGAAGTACAACAAACAGTTCTACAAAGAGTTGAGAACTCTGTGAAACAGCGCTGCCATAATGTATAAATTTACATTACAGTTATGTTTAGATTTCATGGCTACAAAATAAAAGAAAGAACTGTAAGAGCAAACCAGATCATTCAAGACAGATGCAAAACAATATTTAAAGAGTTTCATCACTCAAACACACAGAAAAGAGCTTTTATGGTTTCTATATTAATTTTCTCAATGACCAACAATGTATAGTTCTCGAGAATCAAGCAAGAAGATCAGTCTGAACAGTTAGCTAAAATGTGCTAAATAATTTCTTATTAACATGACATGGCTTGCTGAATCATATCACCACAAAGCACATTGCTTTATAATCAACCTGTAAGTCTATTCAGTCAAACTGCAGGGACATACTGCAATATGAGTCCATGCATTTTTCAATCAGTACACAGGAATACAAACATTCAAATTAGTAATAAAAAAATCCACGTAACAAATTCTTGGTGTGGAATATAATTCTAATGCAAGATATAATGAGGATATATAGGGAATATAATGAGGCATTTATTTATGTTGGGAGAGAATAAGACTTTGACATGCATATTATTAGTACACCCAGTTAATTGTTATCTATACCAACACCTTTTCAATATGTTTTCTCTCTAGTCCTTAACTTATGGTTCTACAAATCAGCATGTGTGGACCGCACAGAATAAGGGAAAATATAATACTGCCCCATCTGATCCATCACCCTGCAAAGCAACACTCCCAGTGACTCAGGAATTTAACTCCTAGGAAACCTGTCCTCAGAACAAACTGTTCATTTCGCTTTCCTTTCCCTTGTCCAGTGAAAAACTGTTATTGTAACAGAGGTGCTAATATCTTTAGTGGTTAACTGTCAAATACAGTATCTCTGACTTAATTTTTCATTTCAATAAGATTCTACAATTTACATGATAGTTCTCTAATCTGTTTGTCAAGGCCAGGCACAATTTACTCTTCAGAGTTTGGGAAGACAGCACATGTAATGTCCATTTTAACCAAAGGTAAATCTGAGGGTACTTACAATGTTATCAGAACTTGAAAAGAGACAAACGAGCACTTGGTCTTGGTATTTCTGAATCCCTATGCTGTCAACAGTCTCTTGAAATATGTGTGTGTGTCTTCTTTGTAAACCTTGTAATATGTCATGACATAGTCAATATTTAATGTCTGTTTCTCAACCTCTTCTAAGCTTTGCATCAGAAGTACTGGTACCTATACAGAGAGGATATTTAGAATAGGGCTACTCACCAATGTGTAGCATTGTAAGTTATAGTTCTGACTGAGGGATGCGTGGTCTTTTCATGTTAGTTCTGCATTGTGCATTCAGATGTGGCACGGACATTGCTGGTTCTTCTTGCTACAATCACGAATTAGCAAACACCACTTGCATTTTAGTAGTGGCCTAGTGACTGAATGGTGAGAAGTCTTGAGAGTAGACATTGCAAGTAGCTAAGTCAATGACAGAAGTCCATCCTATGTGCATGAGCAGTGGTACCAATGCTGAAATTCTATATTGATGTATATAAGTAAAGCCAAATAATAAACCTGGATAATAAGTACAGCTCAGACTTTTGAAGTCTTGAAACATATTTTCTTGATAAGAAAAGAATTATGAGGTTTTACACACTTTCACTTTCTGGCAATGATGGCATGTGAGGTAGCTGAATGACCGAAAATCTTTGGACAGTGAGACAGGTCTTGATGAAAATGTCGTCTTAGTTTTGACAAACTTCAGATTGGAGGTCCCTATTTAGAGCATTGATTTATCTCAGTCTACTGCCCACACAACTCTGCTATGCAGGAAGATACTTGAACTGAGCAGTTTGAACTTATACTATAATAAATTTTCATTGAGGAATATTATCCTATTTTGTGAAGCATTTTCCTGTATGAAATTAAACTGTAAATCTCAATGCTATTTTGGTGGGTATAATAAATAGAAATTATAAATTAGGTCAAAGTATGTGTGTCCCGCGCTACCGTCTCGCCAGCAAGAACCATGCAGGACACATAGGATACTTTTGCAGAAAAGCTTTATGTCTCTTGGGAGCTAGAGCATAAGCCACATGGCGGAGACACAGATAAGATGGAACCCATCCCTTATATAGGAAACAGACCCTGCTTTGGACGTGTCACTCTTTGATTGGTCAACTGCTCCCAGTCCCAGGTGATACCTTGGGAGTAGTGGAAAAATACCAACACGTGTGAGCTTTCTAGCTCACCTGGCGGTGCAGCGCCATCTATGGTGGAGAGTGTGGTTGCAGCCTTCTACATCTCCCCCTAATTTTACTTCTTTGCAGAAAGGCAACTCCCTAGGAAGGTAAAGATAGAGGTCGCACTTCCCAAAATGAAAACATTAAAATGGGCTTACACGGAATCTGCCCCTAGGCTCATGACATCTGGAACCTATCCGGCCTGCCCTCTGCCAATTTTCTGGGAAAGGGAAATATACGGCAGGAAATCCTTATGCAGAGCGACTTATCTCTCAGAGAGGGCCATTCTCTGTGCGATGCTTTTCAGCTCCACAACCTTCAGGGCTAGCTAAGCCAAGCACTCCACCCTGTGCCATGGACCACAGTCCTAGGGGTGCAGGAGCTGGTTGGCTTAAACCTTACTGCTTTAACATAGATAATCATATATCAGAAGAGGCTCCCTATTCCAGGGTAGCCAGCGCTGTGCAAAAACCATTTTGTCCCTAAGACTTTGGGATTTGAGTCAGCAGACCATCCAGAGGAGAAACACTATTCCATAGCATAGGACTGTTCCAAACATTCCAACCCCCACCCATTCTTTGAAGTAGGAGATGAAGGACACAATCCAGGACTGGAATTCTTCGGCCAAGCTTATGTCCACTCGCGTGGAGTTGATTGTCATGATGGACCGTCTCAAGGAGGACAGCAAATCATCAAAATTCTCCTGCAAGATACAAAGACAATTCTCGGGACAAGTTAGCCATTTTTATAAAGTTCTCCTTTTCTGTGGAGACGAAAATAGAACCTCTTTCCCAAAACATCATATCCTTAGCAGTTTCTAAGTTTAAATATCTTTCTCCTATCCAGTACACAACAGACAACATACATAACATAACATAAAGCTTCTGACCTTGTAAATCAGCCTTCTCCCCCATTTTTACTTTTTTAAAATCATTGGGGGGTCCTTTTTAACTTATTTTCTTTTCTGTCTCCCCCATTCTTTACCGGAGGGTCATTTTTTAACTTATCTGGGTGCGCGTACAACCTCCCACTGCTGCTCAGTTTCTGATATGCTCTCTGGACTTTAGAGCGTACCTCTCTAAGCATGCATGTCTGTAGTTTTGAATCCTCCTTGTGTCCAAGGGGTCTCCGGCGGTGTAAAGTTCTTCTTCTTTTTTCTCCCGGGTTTCAGCACCAGATGTCCCGCGCTACCGTCTCGCCAGCAAGAACCATGCAGGACACATAGGATACTTTTGCAGAAAAGCTTTATGTCTCTTGGGAGCTAGAGCATAAGCCACATGGCGGAGACACAGATAAGATGGAACCCATCCCTTATATAGGAAACAGACCCTGCTTTGGACATGTCACTCTTTGATTGGTCAACTGCTCCCAGTCCCAGGTGATACCTTGGAAATAGTGAAAAAATACCAACACGTGTGAGCTTTCTAGCTCACCTGGCAGTGCAGCGCCATCTATGATGGAGAATGTGGTTGCGGCCTTCTACATATGTGCTGTATATAATGTGACTTAGAGTTGGAAAATATTATTTCTTTGTTTTTAAATATCTTGTGACATTTGTAGCATAATGTCAGGTCTCTGATATTTCTCTCATTCATCATCTATTTGCGCACAAACAGGATTTTTTTCTTAGCTAAAACAGTAGATCTCTAACATGTAGCCACTAGTCAGTGTACCAGTATAGTACGACAGGTATACTTAAGGAGTTAAGTTTTTTTTTTTTTTTGCAAGCCTAGATTAAGTAAGCCTATATTCTTAGGAGAAATTTATTACAAGCTCTACAATATTTTATAGTAAGTTTGTGAATTAACTTTTCAGTGCACAATGTTTCTTTTTAAACTGTAGCCATTGGTGCTTAGTGAGCATTACAAACACTATATTTCCCTCTGATATCAAGCAATATCTTAGAATTAAGATACTCAAAGTTTCTTGCAATATTTTATTAATTCTTTGAGGATTTCACTAAATGCATTTTAAATCCCCACCCCCCACTCTTTCCATTATCACCCTCTCAGTCCCTTCCCCATTCCTTCCCCAGAATTTTGAGATTTTGTCATCTCCCCTGCCCCATTGAGTCCAGTTTGGGTTGCACAGCTAGTCTTAGGAGTAAGATAGGCCCTGGTATGTGGGCAGACTACAGGGTGTCACACCATTAAAAAAACATCCCCAAAGCATCCCTGCTTTCCCAGCAGCTATCACTTGCTAATGGCTCCCCAGGTAGTAGCGAGGTTTCATTGCCACCTTTCCTGCTTCATGCTGGGATTTTGTCAGGCTGGAGCCTGTGAACTCCTGGTCATCCTGCCAGGAGTGTGAATTCACATTTGCACATGATCTGTTGTATCTGGAAAAACACTGTTTTCTTGATGTTATCAACCACCTTTGGCTCTTAAAATCTTTCTGCCCTTCTTCTCTGAAGACTCCTGGGCCTTTCAGGAGAAGGTGCATCATCTTGAGCTGAGTGCTTCACAGTCTTTTATTCTCTACACTTTGCCTGTGTAAGTATCTCTGTGTTAATTGTATATACTGTCAAGCACTGAGGAATGCTCTGATCTATAGATTATCACGTCATTAAGAAAGAACATGATACTGTTATTCTACTAAATGGACAGAATATTGATATCAATATTCTTAAATTCTATCCTTAGTAATTTCTGTACTAAGAGGGAGCGGCAGGCTCACACCAAATTTCTTTCAAAGAAATTAAATTTTTAAAAATCTCATTGATTTTACAGGTAGCCTATAACTTACAAATTCTAGTAAATCTAAAATTTCTTGAGCATTCTGTTGGCTGAACACCTGTAGCAAGCACTGCTTGAACTTCCTGATATGCTTCATCTCTATGACCTGATGAGGTGACCCCAAGATCGCAGTATTGAGAATGACTACGGCAATGTGGTAACTATGCCCCAAGTGACAGGTGCTGCTGGGCACTGCTGAGGTAATCATTATCTGGTGCCAGCATCTGTAAGGATGGGGGCTCCTAACTGCTAGTCTGAGAGAAAAACTGTAGTCTGAACAGTAGGCTGATTGAGCCTAAGGATGTCCTTACAGTATCTAACGTCTGGGCTCCTTGGAAGGGGGAGAGCAGTCACAAGCTTCCAATGTACTAGTGAGCAAACTACAGAAGACCATGCAAGTTATAGGGATGAACTCATGTGCCACATGCAGCACAAGGGAAGACTTTCAGGAATGAGAAGAAAAAATTTGACACAGAAAACTAATAAATTGATGCTACGCATTTTAAAAACCTTCCGTACTTACCCTTCCCATTGCCTGTGTGACCCACAATGAGCTGGGTCAGACAAGGTCAAAAACATAAAAATGAAGGGCTGCTTTTTCATTTCAATGAACAAAAGAAATGCCTAGAAATGAAACTATAAATCCTTGTGACACCCAATTATCTGTAATGCTTAGATCCTATTGTGTCTCTCTGGATATTTTCCTGCCTTACCTGTGCAATTAAAATGAATATTTTCAACAAACATGAATGATTGATTATGGGGCATGGCGTAATTCCATAGATTTACATCCTAGGATGCTGGTTTCAATGTAAGGTCCTAGACCTAGCATAGCCAGTAAGATGGGCTTTTGCTTAGTAGATGAAGAAATACAGCAAAAGGCTTGCTTTTATTAGTTCCTTTTGATGTTTATTATGTAGATAAAAAGAATGAAATTCCAGAATGACCAGCTATATGGGTCAGTTCCCAGGTTGGGGGAAAACAAACAGACTCCAAACCACTGTCTCATTCATTTATAGACTGTAATATAGAGTTCTGTTTCTTCTACATGTCAACAGAGTCTTTTCATCCGACTTCACCTTTCAGCAGAATTTGACTTTAATTAGAATTGCAGTCCTTTTATTGCTATTTGGATTATGATACAAAAGTATCTAAACTTGTGGCTGGAGAGATAGTTCAGTGTATAAAAGCACTTGTTTCTCTTGCATGGGACCAGGGTTTGGTTCCCAGGACCAACATGGTAGCTCAAAACCACTCATAAGTCCAGTCCCAGAAGAGCCAATGTCATCTTATGACCTCATTACATATGAACAGGAAAAATATTCATAAACATAAAATAAATAAGCTAAAATTTTAAATAACTAAACTTAAAGATAAAAGTATATATATAATTATAAGTAGACTGAATTTATAGTGACTAAAGTGGCTATTTTTTTTGTAGCCAAACAAAAGACTTGAGAAGAATGGAAGTTTTTTCTTCAGAAACATTTTTAAGCAGTCTCTAATTTTTATGCAAATGGCATATGTTTTTAAACAGTGACTACTTTAAATAAATGGACTCTAGTTTCTAGGGAAATCTAGGAACTCTGAAAATTCAGAACTACAACCAATAA